CAGTTTCCTCTAGTGAAAAACAGGAACAATAATGGTACCTACATCATAGGTTTATTGTGAGGATTAAAAGAATGAATATTTGAGTCAGTACTGGGGCAAATACTGGCCTGCGGTAAGCATTAATTGAGTTACTTTATTTATTTATTTTTAACATTACTAGTAATAACAGAGAACAATGTCTATCAACATAAAATTAATAATTTATAGATAAATTTACTCAAAAAAGGGTTTTTAAGTATATTTAGGATACTAAAAAAATATTTGAAATAACATCAAAATGTACAAAAAATATAAAACATAAAAATAGGTAGGCCATACCTATAACCCCAGCACTTTAAGAAGCTGAGATGAGAGAATCACTTAAAAGGAGCTCAGGACCAAGGACCAGCCTGGGCAATGAAGTTAGACCCCATCTCCTAAAAAAAAAAAAAAAAAGCTAGCCAGGCATGGTGGCATGCACTTATAGTCCTAGCTATTCAGGTGACTGAGGCAGAAACAGCTTTTGAGCCTGGGAATTAGAGGCTGCAGTAAGCTTTGATGGGACCACTGCACTCTAGCCTGGGTGACAGAGTTTTTTGCTTCCATAAACCTCAACAGCACTTCAGGGGCCAAGTTACCAGGTTACATATTTTGGAAATGGTATTAAAACTCCCTTCTCACAAAGGAAAAATAAGCCACATTCTCTCAAACTCTTGCTCCTTCCAAAAAAAAAAAAAAAAAGTCTGCTTGCCTTGGGAGCCTCTGTTCCCTGCCAATTTTACTGTTGCTCCCAAACAACCCTATACACTTCCTAGTCAGTGATTGTCTTTCAATAAATCAACTTGTCTGATTGCTTATTTTCTCTGGAACCCACTGAAAGCCCTACTAAAACAATCAACGAATTTGGGGGTAAGATACTCCCTACTAGATAACATACATGTATTTTTTAAAAACCTTGAAATGGCTTAACATAAAGGGGTGAATCCAACAGAACTATTAGGCTCCATGACAATTCTTTGGGAATGAGAGGTCTTAGATGTCTCTTCATCTCCAGGTGGTGGTTTTAATAAGGACTATCAATAACAGCAGGAAATGGGAACCTGCAAAAAATGTAGAAACCTGCAAAAAAATCTGGGGAAAATGGTGGAGGTTTCCACAGGATGAGAAATGAGGGTTTGTGCCAATCTTATATAAATCTTAAAGAGGGCTGAGTGTGGTGGCTCATGCCTATAATTCCAGCACTTTGGAAGGCCAAAGCAGGCAGATCACCTGAGATCAGGAGTTTGAGACCAGCCTGGCCAACATGGTGAAACCCCGTCTCTACTAAAAGTACAAAAATTAGCTGGGCTTGGTGACGGGCACCTGCAATCCCAGCTACTCGGGAGGCTGAGGCAGGAGAATTGCTTGCACCTGGGAGTTGGAGGTTGCAGTGAGCCAAGATCGTGCCATTGCACTTCAGCCTAGGCTACAGAGTGAGACTCCATCTCAAAAAAAAGAAAAAAAAAATTAAACTGAAGAACTAGAGGTGTTGTTCAAGAGAAGTGAGAAGGCTTAGGACCCAGAAAACCCTCAGACAAAAAGAGAGTAGTTACCAAAAGCCAAAGTGGAAAGACACTTCCTCTTGATGTGGGAGCTACTGATTTTTCAAAAACCTCTCTGACTCCTGCCTAAAAGTGTGATGGAAGTACCAGGACAGCGGCAAACAGAGCTTGACACTTAGAGGTGCCTCTGCAAGTGGCACTAGAAATTCCTTTCGCTTTATAAATACAATGCACAAATTGTAACCTAATTCTGCAAGACCACGGGTGCCCATTTCAGGCTTAAACTCTCATCCAATTTTAGCCTCAAGAGCAGGGGTAGTAAATATTACTGTGTCAAATTCCTGTGACAGAGGACACAAAATATAAGGGAGGAAAAGGTGAATTAGAATTATTTCACTGTACTGCTATTTCTATGCCATCAAATGAATTACTTAGCTCTACATTTTGGGGGTGGATTATCTGAGCCAATTGTAGCTCCTGTCTCCCTTTGGATGCCTGCCCTGTGGCTAGGTCACTGTTCACCAGCCAAGTAAGCAGATAGAGTTGTGCTCTGAGAAGAAAGGCGGATAGAATTCAAACTGATTTTTTCCTTTCTTTAAAGAAGAATAGAATCTAATTTGCTGTTGCTTTTCATCATGTGTTAATTATTGGCAATGTCGTTTTCTAATCTGTCATAGGCTTTCTATTCCACTTTAAATTTGTACAGCTAAAAATATAGTCACTTATTTTCTCACCACAATAAAACTTAAACAGTTACCATTTGGGGTTGTTGCTTTCAATATTGATAACTCTATTCTCAGGAGCTAAGAAGTTTCTAAGAAGTATCAGAGGCAAGTGACAGGCAAAAGTGACACCTGATCTCAGTTTTGATAGAGTGTCTCAGCTCTACTTTCTCATTTTCAGTGTGAAGAGTCAGAAAATTTGGTGAGAAACAGTGTTCCAGGTTAGTGTTTTCTGGAAATTTTTTTCTAGGGCATTTTTATTCTTTCTCTCCCAGATCATAAGAGGTGGTCTGGTCACTGTGATGAGAAGGGCTTGGGCCTAAGCTTTTGAGTCAACTGAGGTGTCACTGCTAGGTGTAGGTGATGGGGAGGATGCGCTGGAAGAACATGGATGAGGCAGAAGCTATATTACCCACCAAAGTTTTCAGGCCCCATGGAAGAAGTCTTACCGCTTATGCATCGTTTACCACAAGAGTAGGAGAGGAGTCAAGTGAACAAATACCAAATCTACACTGCTAAGTGTGAATCCAAGCTCTGCCACTTAGGAGCTGTGTTGATCTTGGGTAAATTGCTTAACCTCTTTGGGCTTTAGTGTCCACATCTTAAAATGGGAAATAATAACAAGACCTAAAGCAGAAAATTATTGTGAGGCCTAAATGAGTTAATATTCATAAGGTACTTAGAACAGTACCAAGCATACAGTAAGGGCTCTCTCTCTATATATGTATATATATACACATATATACAGTCATGTACTGCACGGCCACATTTTAGTCATATTCAGTGGTGGTCCCATAAGATTATAACACCATATTTTTACTGTATCTTTTCTATGCTTAGATATGTCCAGATATGCAAATACTTACCATTGTGTTACAACTGCCTATGACATTCAGCACAGTAACATGCTCTGCAGGCTTGTAGAAGAGAAACTGGCTGTGCCATGCAGCCTAGGTACGGAGCAGGCTACGCCATCTAGTTTTGTGTACAGACACTCTATGATGATCACACAATGACAAAATTGCCTAACAATGTGTTTCTCAGAACATACCCCTGTTGCTAAATGACTCATGACTGTATGTGCGTTTATGAAATAAATAAAATGATTCATGTGCGATGGCTCATGCATATAATTCCAGCACTTGGGGAGAATCGCTTGAATCCAGGTAATCGAGGCCACAGTGAGCTGTGATTGTGACACTGTACTCCAGCTTGGGTGACAAAGATGCTGTCTCAAAAAAATAATAAATAAATAAATAAGGGGTGGGGTGGGAAGGGAATCTTGCTGGATGTTTTCCAGAGTCTTGTCTTCTTCCCTTGCTCTCTGACACACACATATCTCCCACCTCCCCAGGAGCTAAGGTGGCAGGTCATGGGCCCTGGGGGTTGGAAGCTGCTGATGTTACCTAAGTCAGTGATCAGCTGGCATATCTACAGGCCTCACGCTCTAGGACTCCACAAACTCAAGGTGCTCAGCAGAAAACAGAAGTCCCAAAAGGCCAATCCCAGCCAATATAGATCTGAGGGAGTATCTCTTTGTAGTACCCTGACTCCTCATCAATCACAGCAGACATGGGGACAGTGGCCAAGGCCCTGGTGTGTGGCCATTTGGAGAAGGTGAACTCATGACTGGTGGCCTGTGGATGCTGTAGCCAAACTTCAGGTTCAGTTCACCTCCCTGACTGGGTGGCTTCCCTCTCAGGCCTGCAGGTGGAGAGAAGGAGCAGCAGGAAGGGGTGGGCCAGGAATAACTACAAGACACTGAGTCATAGGACACATGGCAGGGACCGCAGCCAACCTCCGTTTACAGATGAAGAAACTGAAACTCAAAGTGAAGCAGCAAACAGGGAAGATCTGAGTTTTCTGAGGCTGGATGCTATTAAAATTTTAAAGGGAGGTGGTGGATAGTTAAGAAAAAGAATGTAGAATTCAAATACAAAATGCCCCTGACTGCTAACACCACCAGACGGCAGGAGAACGGGATGGAGGGAAAAGTCGCAGAGGAAGGAGACAGCAGTCGTAACTTATTGTGGTTAGAATATCTTACTTATCCAAATTTTACCAAAGCATAAGACATGTGACCACACTGCTAGGGGGCCCTTCAGAGGGTCTTGAGGGGGATTTAGAAAGGGTTGTACAAATGTGGGGCTCTGAAGCTTCAGCTTCATTAGCTCCACTGTAAATCAGCTGATGCAATTAGCTGACAATCCGTAGTTGTCAGTAAGCACTGGCAACCATGATCTAAGTGCATGGGCTGTAGGGAAGGGCGTGGGAGAGGGTAGGGAAGGCAGGGACATGAAAACCAATGCTCCGTGTGAAGGGAGACTTTTGGAATCCCATTAGTTGTTTCCTAGGAGCCTGGCAATGCTAGAAACAGGGTCAGAAAAGACCAGAAGAGAATATGTGTGGAGCAGAAGAGTCAAGTCTCAGGGGCCTCAGTGCAGCAGCCTTCCCCCAGCCCCATGGGATGGGCCAAACTACCCTACTCTGAGAATCTAGGCTCACTGATGTGAGACTGCGGAGGAGGAGGAAGCACACGGGGGAGGGCTCCATCCCAGGCTGGGCCTGCCTGCCATCAACTGCTTTCAATCATAACACTTCCTTCTTCTCCAGGAAAGTCTTTTTTGCATGTGGTCTTGTACGACGCTCAGTAGAAAGTGAGTAAAACCCACCAAGTCAGCCCTGGGCTTGCAGTGGTCAGATTCATCAGGAGACAGTGAAAGGATTCCAGGACTTAACAAAGCTGAAAGTTTCTTACCAAAGATCAGGAGGGCCAACGCAAAGAGAATGGTACTCAGTCCCATAGTGCTAGAGTCAAAAAAGAAAAGATAAAATTTGATTAGAAAAGGAAACTGAAAACCGATGTTCACCAAAACGTGACCTGGAAGTGGAGCGTGGGATTCACTTGGGTTCATGGGTGTGCAGAGATAATGCTAGGGGTTCATCAAAGCCATTTCCTTTTGCTCTCAGCTCCATAAATAGGTCACATTTCGCAGCCTCCCCTGCAGTTAGATAGGCCATGAGATTGGCTTCTTGCCAATGGAATTGTGGGCAGAAAAGACATTTCTTCCGTATCTGGCTGCTAAAGTCTCCCTCTTTCCTCTCTTTCCTGCCCTCTTAGCAGCAGGTGATCCAGAGGAAAAGTACAAGGGCCTAGAAAATAGTAAAGTCTTACAATGGAAGGGACCTGGTTTGCTGCATAAACTAGTAAAGCAGCTCTCTACACCTTTCTGACAACTGATCTACATTGGATTGCAATATTAGCAAAAAAATAAACTTTTGGGGATTGATTATTGCAGTAGCTAGCATTATCTATCTTGACCAACACACAGGCATAATGGGGCAATCGGTGAGTGTTGTATTTGTGCTTAGAAATCAGCCTTCCTTTTGTTTTCCTGTGGTTCTCAAACTTTAATGTGAGTAAAAATCACCTGGAGAGTTTCCTGGGCCTCATCCACAGAAAGTCTGGCTTAGTAGGTTGGGATGAAACCCATGAATGTTTATGTTTAACAACATAAGGACCACACTTTGAGAGCAATTAACTTAATCCATGTGATGAAGCCAAGAAGAGGCCAGTGCTAAACGGTTGCCCTAGAAATCTACCCAATTTGCACTGAGTGGGACATAAGTTTGGCTTATAGCTTTCTAACAGCCAATGTAAAAAGGAAAGCCTAACCAGTGAATTAATTCACATGTCTGTCCACTAATTCATAGCTCTGTTGGTAAAAACAAATCAGTTCTTTCCAGGAAAAGATGCACAACTATTCTTGATCCAGTAGCAGAAATTTATTCCCCAGATGGTGTTGTTTAGAAGCCATTTGTGTTTCTTTCCTCCCTGCTCTCACTGCACCCAGTGCAGGGCACTGAGCTAGAAGCATCTGTTACGTTTTGTTTCCTTCTAGACTATACCTTTTCTTTTTTTAATAAATATTTTTGAATAGATCATACCTGTACATGGTACTAAATTTGAAAGGTAAAGGTGATAAATAATGGAAAGCAGGTCTTCCTCCCAGCCTTGTCCCCTAGCTGCCTAGTTTTCTTCCATAGATGTAACTGGCCTGATCATTGTTACACCAGTTTCTTGCCTCTACTTAAAGCTACTTTAGACAAAACTAAACAAAAAGATAGATCCATATTCTGTTTTCACTTTCTTTTTAAGCACAAATGGTAGCATACTATATACAGTTTTGCACACATATGATCACCTTGGAGATTATTCTGTATCAGCATGTATCCTCATGCTTACAGTTGCATATTAGTCTATTGTATTCCATTGGATGACAATAATATATTTCCAGACCGCTACTGATAGATACTAAGATTGTTTCCAAACTTTTGTTGCAATGGAAAATCTTGATTATATGCCATATCACATAGGTGGGAGTAAGCTATATTCCTATAAGTAGAATTGCTTGACCAAAGGGCCAAAGAATAGTTGCAAATTGTTCTCCCCTGAGATAATATGTTTATGTTCTGATCAACACAAGAGCGCTTATTTTCATGTGCCTTTTGTTAACATGTTTTCTAATTTGTAATCTTTAACAATAGGGAAGGGTGAAATTACATCATATAAGTTTTAGAAATTACTATTAGTTGTGGTAAATACACATAAAATTTGCTATCTTGACCTTTTGAGTGTACAGTGGTATCAAATACATTCATATTGCTGTGCAGTTATCACTATATCCATCTCCAGAACCCTTTTCATCTTGTAAGACTTAAGTCTCTATACCTGTTAAATCTCTATACCTGTTAAACAATAACTCCCCATTCTCTCCTCCTCTCAGCTCTTGACAACTGCCATTCCACCTTCTGTTTCCATGAATTTGACTGCTTGGGGTACAAGTAGACTCATACAGTATTTATCTTTTTGTGACTGGTTTATTTCACTTAGTATAATGTATTCAAGGGCCATCCACATTGTAGCATGTGTTTGAATTTTCTTTCTTTCTTAGACTAAATGATATTCCACTGTATGTATATACTACATACTACATTTTGTTTATCCATTCATCTGTTGATGAACACTGAGTTGCTTCCACCTTTTGGCTATTGCACATATTGCTTCTATGAACAAGGGTGTACCAACAACTCTTTAAGACCTTGCTTTCAGTTCTTTTGGGCATATATCCAGAAAGGGAATTGCTAGATCATGTGGTCATTTTATTTTTAATTTCCTGAGGAACTGCTACACTATTTTTCATAGTAGCTGCATCACTTTACATTCCCTTCAACAACTAGAACAAGACCTCCAATTTCTCCACATCCTTGCCAACACTTGTTCAACTCATATTCTATGATACGTAGGTTGCTGTTGGTGATTTAGTATAAGGAAGTTCATAGGAATCAGATAGAGAATTCTGTTCTCAGGCTCTACCCTTGTGTGATGTCAGCTTTGGCTCAACAGGTAATGCCCAAACTCTGAAATCTGTTGGCTGGAAGGGAAGGAGAGAGCAATCAGGAACCAGCCATTCAGCTCATACATGAAACACCTACTGTGCATTTCAGCAACTGAAAGTATTTGCAACTAGTCACAAAGCATTAATTTTCTATGTATAAAAGACCCTCTACAAATCAATAAGAAAAATAAGAAAAAGGCCAAAGACCCAAATTAAAAGCGGTCAAAACAAATGTGCAGATAGCATTTAGAAGTGGAAATAACTAATACATTTGAAAAGATGGTCATACTCAAAATTTAAAAATTCATTATAAAATGACAGTGAGAAACACTTCCTACTCATTAGGCTGGCTTCTATTAAAAAACAAAAACAAACAGAAAATTGAGGGCCCTTTGAATCTGAACTCCTACTTAATATAGGAATCTCTCATCGTTTGCAAACCAAAGACCATTATGTTTGACCTAAACAAAGATAATTTTTTTCTGGGGTGGCATGTCAAACAGGGACACAAATCAAATTATAGTTTACTATAAATTTAAAAAATCACCGTTCAAATAATTTCATGAAATCAGTATTGCTCTGAGGAATCTTTGACAAATGGCCCCTGTAATTCACACAGTGAGGAGAAGCCCTGACCCTCACAAGGAATCAGGACCATTTTTGACTTCCCGGTTTGCAAACTCTCACTTCCCCTGGGTTAGAAGCTGTTTCTCCTTATCTTCCTTCCGCCAATACTGGTTTTGTCCTCTGAAGCTACCCAGAGTAAGCCTAACACAGTTCTGGCCAAAATCCTTCAAGGATTTGGCGACGGCAATCACTTCTCTCCTCAAAATCCTGGATTTCCTTCCAGTAAGCTTCACTAATGTTAATTTGGAGACCACACACCATCCTAGAAAACACTCTGGACGCTTAGTTTATCAGTGACCCTGTTGCAATAGGATGCTAAAATACTCAAGATTACATGATTTTCTTTTATGAAGTATACATGCCCCATATGAAGAATTTCTCTCCACTCTAGCCATGATGTATATGTGTGAGGGTGTGGGCTGGGTTAGAAAGCCAGTCTCTCCAATGTCATTGGCTGTGAAGAAGAGTAGAAATGTCCCCACTCCCTCTGGAATGAAACCCCAACACAACCAGAAGCCAGAACTTTCTCCAGTGGGCCTGGAAAGTGGAAACTCTTGCCTTTGGAGGGAGAGAGCAAAATGGGGAATGGGAGAGGAAAGAACCTACGAATTTGTGGGGGGATTCTCTGAGAGGAGATTTCTGTCAGCTAAGCACAGAAGAAGGTCTATGAGGTGGGTGAACTAGTCAGAAACTTAAAAAGAGGAGCCTCCATGTAACATCTGGAGGCACATTCCAGAAACCAAGAAGAGGACCTGCCATAATCCACTTTCACTTACTTTATATGTCCGGCCCATCAGAGAACGTGAGTAAGATGTACTAAATGATTAATCGTACTGTTACTGCTCACAACAGGGTGAGGTTATTTGTCCCCATGTTATAGATGGAAGAATGGAGTCTCAGAGAGGTCACAGTACTTGACCTAGGCCATCCAGCTAGTAAACCGTACAGCTGAGATTTAAACCCATGCAGCCTCACTGTGTTTCTTTCACACTGGTGTAGCTCCTTTAAAAATGCCAACCAGCTTTTCCTCTGCCATGGGAGTTGGCAGAAAGGACTCTGAGCTATCCAGCCTTGGGGACACAGGGGAGCAGCACAGCCCAGGGCCAGGTGTGATGGTGGCTCCTGGAATCGAGAGGACACTCAGAGAGACAGACTGGGGAGGGCAGAAAAGGGGCCCAAAAGCATCCCTTTGCATCAAGAGAGATTCTTTCCTGAGCTGCTGTTCATTTCGCAAACACTGCTTGAATACCCACTGTGCGCCAGGTACAGAGATCTCTTCCCTGCTCTAAGCTGGACAGGCATCAGCTTCCCAGCCTGGGCTTAGGTTTTAGGTGCACACTACAGTGCTCCATCTAAGCCACACCTAGAAGAGCTCTGGGGAAATATGACTACTTGGGCAGAAAAAGAAGGAACAGAGAAAGGGTGTCTTTGTGTCTGAGGTCTGAAAGAGCATGTGGGCTCTTATTCAGGCAAAAGGCAGGATGAGGAGAGGTGGGTGGTGGCAGCCAGAAATGGGGTGGGACAGGGGAGTGCAGAGAGGATGAAACGGGAAGTGAGAGGAGGGGCCCGCGGTAGACGTTGGAGAGCAACAAGGAAAAAGATTGCTTATTTCACAACCTTGTCTAAAATATTAGTGGTAACTGGAGTATCAGGAAAAATGCTGAGAAGTTTGTTGGTGCCTCAGAAGGTTATTTATTGAGGTAGTCTTCAAGGCAAACGTTTGCTACGTCTACTCAGTGTCAGACTTATTCTAGAGGTTGAGGGGGTGTAAAGAGTGTCCAC